GCGTTTCAGTTAATATAACCTGACATGGGTTTCAGTTAATATAACCTGACATGGGTTACAGTTAATATAACCTGACATGGGTTTTAGTTAATATAACCTGACATGGGTTTCAGTTAATAAAGCCTGACATGGGTTTTAGTTAATATAACCTGACATGGGTTATAGTTAATATAACCTGACATGGGTTTTAGTTAATATAACCTGACATGGGTTAATTAGTTAATATAACCTGACATGGGTTTCAGTTAATATAACCTGACATGGGTTTCAGTTAATATAACCTGACATGGGTTACAGTTAATATAACCTGACATGGGTTTTAGTTAATATAACCTGACATGGGTTATAGTTAATATAACCTGACATGGGTTTCAGTTAATATAACCTGACATGGGTTACAGTTAATATAACCTGACATGGGTTACAGTTAATATAACCTGACATGGGTTTTAGTTAATATAACCTGACATGGGTTTTAGTTAATATAACCTGACATGGGTTATAGTTAATATAACCTGACATGGGTTTCAGTTAATATAACCTGACATGGGTTTCAGGGTTTCAGTTAATATAACCTGACATGGGTTTCAGTTAATATAACCTGACATGGGTTTCAGTTAATATAACGTGACATGGGTTTTAGTTAATATAACGTGACATGGGTTTTAGTTAATATAACGTGACATGGGTTTTAGTTAATATAACCTGACATGGGTTTTAGTTAATATAACCTGACATGCGTTTCAGTTAATATAACCTGACATGGGTTTAAGTTAATATAACCTGACATGGGTTTCAGTTAATATAACCTGACATGGGTTACAGTTAATATAACCTGACATGGGTTTCAGTTAATATAACCTGACATGGGTTTCAGTTAATATAACCTGACATGGGTTTCAGTTAATATAACCTGACATGGGTTTCAGTTAATATAACCTGACATGGGTTTCAGTTATTATAACCTGACATGGGTTTCAGTTAATATAACCTGACATGGGTTTCAGTTAATATAACCTGACATGGGTTACAGTTAATATAACCTGACATGGGTTTTAGTTAATATAACCTGACATGGGTTTCAGTTAATAAAGCCTGACATGGGCTTTAGTTAATATAACCTGACATGGGTTTCAGTTAATATAACCTGACATGGGTTTTAGTTAATATAACCTGACATGGGTTTTAGTTAATATAACGTGACATGGGTTTTAGTTAATATAACCTGACATGGGTTTCAGTCAATATAACCTAACATGGGTTTCAGTTAATATAACCTGACATGGGTTTCAGTTAATATAACCTGACATGGGTTTCAGTTAATATAACCTGACATGGGTTTCAGTTAATATAACCTGACATGGGTTTCAGTTAATATAACCTGACATTAATATAACCTGGGTTTCAGTTAATATAACCTGACATGGGTTTCAGTTAATATAACCTGATTTCAGTTAATATAACCTGACATGGGTTACAGTTAATATAACCTGACATGGGTTTTAGTTAATATAACCTGACATGGGTTTCAGTTAATATAACCTGACATGGGTTTCAGTTAATATAACCTGACATGGGTTTCAGTTAATATAACCTGACATGGGTTTCAGGGTTAATATAACCTGACATGGGTTACAGTTAATATAACCTTACATGGGTTTCAGTTAATATAACCTGACATGGGTTTCAGTTAATATAACCTGACATGGGTTTCAGTTAATATAACCTGACATGGGTTTCAGTTAATATAACCTGACATGGGTTTCAGTTAATATAACCTGACATGGGTTAATATAACCTGACATGGGTTTTAGTTAATATAACCTGACATGGGTTTCAGTTAATATAACCTGACATGGGTTTCAGTTAATATAACCTGACATGGGTTTTAGTTAATATAACCTGACATGGGTTTCAGTTAATATAACCTGACATGGGTTTCAGTTAATATAACCTGACATGGGTTTCAGTTAATATAACCTGACATGGGTTTCAGTTAATATAACCTGACATGGGTTTCAGTTAATATAACCTGATATAACCGACATCAAACAAACATATATTTTATCCTAAGAGAGTTTTGTTGGCCGTTTGTCTACTCCATTAATGATTTTACAATTGTTTATCTAAGTGTTGGCCGTGAGCTTTATGTAGGGTGAACACTTGGGCAATGGACCAATAATTTCCCGATAAATTATACTCCCCTTGAGACAGGTTAGGTTAGGTTAAGTTGGTGCAAGTTATGTTAGATTAAATTAGGACAACATAAGTTAGGTTAGGATAGCTAAAGTTAGGTTAGGCTAGGCTAGGTCAGCTTAAGTTGGTTAGACTAGGTTAGGACAGCTTTAGTTAGGTTAGGGCAGGTTAGGCTAGGTTAGGGCAGCTTAAGTTAGGTTAGGCTAGGTTAGGACAGCTTAAGTTAGGTTAGGCTAGGTTAGGACAGCTTAAGTTAGGTTAGGTTAGGACAGGTTAGGTTAGGCTAGGTTAGGGCAGCTTAAGTTAGGTTAGGCTAGGTGAGGGCAACTTAAGTTAGGTTAGGCTAGTTTAGGATAGCTTAGGGCAGCTTAGGTTAGGGCAGCTTTAGTTAGGTAAGGCCAGCTTATCAGGCTAGGTTTGGACAGCATAAGTTAGGATACGTAAGTTAGGATACGTAAGTTAGGTTTGGCTAGGTTAGGATAGTTAAGTTAGGCTTGACTAGATTAGTATAGGTAAGTTACCTGTAGATTTGGCTAGGTTAGGACAGCCTAATTTAGGTTAGGCTAACTTAGGTTATATTGGGACAAGTTAGGTTAAGTTAATTTGGTTATGAAATAGACTGATATTTCATATACTGTATATGATTATTATGTTATTTATATTACTTTGACCCATGGCCCAAACACCCAGGGGCCATGGCCTGTGGGCCAAACTTCCTTCATTCATACAATACAGCAGTCATCAATTAAAAAAAATGCGAGATACTTTACACGTAATAAGATTTGTCAGTTGGGCAAGAGTGCATATAGTAATCAATACAGCGCTGAGTACAGTATATAATTTACTGTATTGTTCATGAATGACCCTAACTTTATCTTACCTTACTAAAATTTGGCTTCATATAAACATTTACTACAGTATATGATTTATGTTAGGTTAGATAGGTTCATTTAAAGAATAAATTATATATTGTAACAGTAGTATCTGGTACTGTATTTTGGAAAATTACCAACCTAGCCAAATGTCAAAGGCATTCATGATTTTACTCCCATTAAATACAAAATTATATTATATATTAGGCTGTACACAGTCCTATTTTCTAATGCCTGCATATAAATACTATCTATAATACTGTAGATATAGGCAATTACTGTATACCATGTTAAAACTGCAAGAACTTATATTTCACAAACTAATTAATGAGTTTATTAGCCTTAATATTTTACTTAGTCTCACAATCACGCTTGAAAACAAATCACTTTAGTTAGATTCTGGTGCTGAACAGTATATTATAATGACAGTATTCAGGTCTCAAGTTCCACTGTCTAGCATATCAAATAACCATTCACAGGAATCACTGTTGGCTGAAGCTTTTCATAACAACAGTTAAATTTTTAGTAATGTAACTCAACCAAATACAGTGAAGTACAGTACAGTACTGCCCATATGAGTACAATATACTTGACAATTAAAATTGTATGGATAATAATGATTATTTTGAAGAAAAAAAATACGGTAAAATTATTATTAAACAAAAATGTTTTTTTTATGTACCTAAATGCTATTTTATTTTGAAAACCTAACTATTAAGTAATGATCAATAAGAGTACAGTAATGTTTACAAGTTAAAACATCAATGCTAATGTAAGCATAACACCCACTTATTGCATTCTAAACTCATCAACAACCAGTATTTAAACCTCAGCCCTCTAACAGCAAACTCCAATAAGAAATGCATTCCTCATTAGCATTTATCAATCTAAGAAACATTCCAGCTGTTTTTTGTCATACTGGACAAGAAAAAAATATATATACTATATAAATAACAATATCTATAACACCAATTACATAAATTTGAATATTTACATGGTAACTAATGACCGTAAATATATATATATATATATATATATATATATATATATATATATATATATATATATATATATATATATATATATATATATATATATATACAGGGTATATGGCAACAAGTAACATACAGTAATTATTTAAAGGCTAAGATTAAAACGAATTAAAATTATGATCCCTATAGGTAACTTTTATGAAATTAAAATTAGTTCAAAGCGGTCAGCCTCATCCAATACGTAGGTAAACGCAGTCAGTAGTCATAAGCATTATGGTGTTGACTGTGGCACACCCTAACAGTACACAACAAACTGTCACCTGACATACCATACCAGTCCATGACAGCTAACTATAGGAAAACATTTGCTTGGCTTTTGTCACACCTTGTAATCTGACGTTTGTCGGTGCCTGAACCTTTTGTCTTCATTGTTATTTTGCTTTCTGTCAGCTACAATATACTAAGATAGCTAAGCAAGCCCAACCCTTGTTAACAAAGGTTAGTACCCTCAACTGATGATATGTCATCGTACCAGCCCCCCAGCTGCTATTTATTTGTATAAAAAGGTATTGTAATAGCAATACTAGTGAAGTTTCTTTCACGGTAAGTAAATCAGGAAATAACATCAAGTAAGGGAAGTGAACCAGCCGGTGTGGCCGGTCCAACCCTCTCCCGACCCGCTGCCAGTGTTATGATCACTTCCACTAATGCTTAGACCTTCCCTCCCTCTACATTTATGCTTGATACCAAGTAAAGACAATTCTAAAATTATTCATATTGCGGCTCCACCATAGTGGTAGCTTGAAGACGTTGTGAGAAGGTAGTTGTTGGGTACGTGGTGGTGCGCATCCTCTACCCAAGGTGCGCGCAGCCGCCATGATGAACAAAGCTCAGAGAGAATGGATGTCCGAGATTTGAATCACAAAATAACAAGACTTACACGTAGCATCCAGCACTGTGATTGCACTCATCCTGCGTGTGGCTACACACACAAAGTTTTTGTATACAGCGGGAAAACCCCGCACGGAATTCACTCCATTTTCTTGGGGTGTAAATAGCAAGAGAGACAGTACAGTCCACCCGTCAATGTTCGCCAGTGTTGGTGACTGACTCCCCGCGCATGACGTCACGCCGGAGTCGCGCACCCACCACCAGGGGGACTGTTTAAACCACCTTCATGTACACCACAATACCTATCTCACTCTTATACCTTCCCAATAACTTATTAACCTTGTTATTCATACCAGCTGTCGGTAAGGAAGTTCTATCAAAGAAAAATACCATTTTATCCCAATTATCATCATTATCCTCCAAAAATGTTGATTTTAATACATAATGCTTTCACAATGGCTTTTACCTTTTATCCCAGCAACATAATGGATTTTTGGTTATACTTTACATCTTTTAAAGTACAAGAGTATACATCGACAAGGGTCACACATATTGACTTGATAGGAGATTCAAACAATACATAGGGATCATATGAAGACTCTCCCCCAGAGTAGCCACCTGAAGAATCCCCCCCCAGAGTAGCCACCTGAAGATTCTCCCCCAGAGTAGCCACCTGAAGAATCTCCCCCCAGAGTAGCCACCTGAAGAATCTCCCCCCAGAGTAGCCACCTGAAGAATCTTCCCCCAGAGTAGCCACCTGAAGAATCTCCCCCCAGAGTAGCCACCTGAAGAATCCCCCCTCTGCAGCATGACCTGGAAGGGGGGGGTGATTTTTTATATGATCCATAAATTGTCTATATTTTGCTTTACAATGACTAAGCTCATATCTTAACAATTGCACGGTGATCACCTTACCTATTTCAAGGTGAATAGAAAAATTTAAATCTTAATTCCTACCTTCAGTTGAGAAAACAGACCATTTTAGGAAAAAAAATGTCAGTTATCAGTACTGTACAGGTATTACCATTTGGTTCCTTATTGAGCATTGTACTGTAATTTTTCCCTTGGTATACCACTCTGTAAATGTTTTAACTTAAATTATTTAATAATAGGTTGACTGATAAAATGGGCCTTAGTTCTAAGAAGATCTAACTCAACTTCAACCAATCATTGTGTCTGAAACATTGCCCTAATGAACCTAATCGTTGTGGATTTCATTCCTAATGGATAGGTTAGTGAGGTCCAATAACACTGGGCCCATTTTACATACAAATTAGCACTATAGGTGTCTGATAATATTACAGGTATAATAATAAATATAATTACCAGTAACACTCATACTCTGGGTCAAACCAGCATGACTCCTCAACCTCAACCTTCTCCCCCATCAAGTTATATTCATATTTTTTCAAGGTAAAGTGTAACATTTACTGTATGATTTTATTATTAGATATGAATGTAACATTTATTTTGACTGTGCTATCCTTTGTGTTAGGCTAACTACTAAATTTTTTTCGATTTCGAGTAATCTGCACCTAACCCTATTTTCTCCATAAGCCCTGTTATTTCTAATGTGCAAATTTCTAGAACGTGAGGTTTTACAAGAACACAACTATCGCGTTATAGCAGAACTGACTGTACTCTTGTTAATAGTATACCTGTACAGTACTAGTAACTAACTAATCAAAGTGGAATGTAATGCTTGTCACATTTATTGTCATAAAATCATCTTATTGATTCTGTAGATTTAGTGTTACAGTACTTGAATGGTCTCCCTAACTCCACATAAGGACCCTCATTGAAGTGAATTTTTAATAACCTCCTTGAGTTATCCATAGCTGAATCAACCTAGTGTACTGTTTGCTGTTGTTTATAAACCTTCACTGCCTACCGTACTTACTTGCTGAACCAATGTGAACATTAATGATGGCTTTACATAATAAGTATATGTCTATCTAATGTTTGATAATGTACTGTACTGTTACTATGACAAACAATTTCCTCTTAACATGTTTTTTCTTGAATGGTAATTTAATAAATGTCTAGAAAAAATATTCCCAAGTAAAAAGCATCAAGACAGCAAAATTGAGAGAATCAAGGTGACAGCTCACATCCAAAATAATATTACAGTCTACAGGTACAGCAGCAGTAATTATTTCATTGTTAGACATTTCACTTGTCTTCATCAATAATTAACGAGAATAGTTGTGATTACAGTACAGTATTAAAGTTAAATATAGAGTTTATTTTAGAGTAAATTGTATGCAAAACTTTGTTTGATCACAGGTAAGAGAAGTTTAATTAGGGTGTAACTTCTATGAATAAATACTAACACATTATTCCTACAGGTTACTTGATACAGTACAAACATTTGGAGTGACACTAAAAATTGGTTAAAAAGCATGAGTGAAAAGGGAAACTGGCATTGGAAGATATGTAAGAAAAGTTGTCTTGTAAGTTGATTTAAAAACTTGTGTTTCTAAGTCTTGTAGAAACTATTTTGTGTAAGTTATAGTGCAATGAAATTTTGGAAAGTTGTACAGGGCTGTATTGTACTGTACCAGAAAATGGTGTAAGAGCTTTGCTGTACAGCTGGTCTTGGGGGAGATATGTTTAACTGGTTAAGTGAAGTGTAGGTTGGTGAAAAAGGAGCAACATCTTAACTTGCAACACCAGCTTGTGAGTCTCTGTAGTAGCTGGCCTGGGGCAACTTACAGTAGAGATTATGAATGTTGCTCAGACCTTGCATAGCCATTTAAGTACAGAACTCAGGAAATATTTCACTTACTAGCTGCAGTGACCTTGTTGACCACAATTACCATAATATCCTTGAGTTGCTGATTGCTATCCTTCATCATAGATCTAGTTTGTTACATTGTAATGCAGAAAAACTTAAGGACAAGGAGGCCTAAATTGTAAGCCTGCATCTGATCAGTAGAAAACTCTCAACCCATGAATACCAATTCTCATGTGTCAGAGTCAAAAAGTAAATAATAATTGGAAGTGGACAATTCTACTATACAATCCAAAAAATCCACAGCAGAAAAACAGATCAAGCCATAACAGTTGGCCTGAAATTGGATCTATAAAAAATAAATGTCTCTAAAACGGATCAATAATTCACATTCGAAGACTGCACAGGGCTTAGTGTCACCAGTAAACCAAACCAAAAGTATGTCTTATATAATCCAAAAATATGTGTGGTATTAGCATGCACAGAATTAACAGTTATCCTTAACTTATCCTCAATTCATGAAATTCAGAATTAAGAAATAACTATCAAACAGCTCATATGATGTTAGCAAGAGTAACAGAAAGAATAGGGATACAATACAATATATAAAATTTGATCACGCCTTCCCGGAGTAAAAGACCTCAGATCAAGGTGTTGGAGCCACTGTACATATAGAAGACCTACACAATGGGAGTACACATGATGGAGGGCATAATCCAGTTGAGGAAAGGTCAAAAGTTTTATTATACTCTCAGTGAATTATCTCGTGCAACACCAACTAGCTCATAGATCTGATGGATTTTTATATGTTCTATTAATTAACGAAGAAAAGCACATTACATTCTTTCCCACCAAGAAAATTACCTGAAGGTTTATTTAATTCCTGTAGTGGAAATTTCAATGAGACCCCCAAACCATTTTTAAAATAGAAATTACTGTAACTGTTTCAGCACATACAGAGCAATTCCTTCTAATTCCAGGCCAGAAACCCAGTGGGCCAAGAATAACATAGAGGTACCATCAAAATACTGATTGGGTTACTCACTGTGAAATCATATAATACTGTAATGTCTTGACATGGAGCAGATGGCATTGGCCTTCAACCAATATGCCACCAGGTTCAAGTTGACACAGAAAGAGTGTCAGGTGGTATTTGGCATTCAACACTTGCTGTTGGGTACAGTGTAGTCTTCCTTCTCTATCATCTTTAGGCTGCAACTTTACTGACATTAACAGCTGTATCAGTCAGCCAGATATTGCAAAGACAGTAGTGTCACTTGAAATGAGTGAGCCACCCACTGCTGTCAATACAGGACTTCTTTTCCTCTCTTTCCTTATGAAGTTAGATTGCTGTCTCTGTTTCATAGGGACAATAACAGGAATATATTTTTGCATCATGTCCTCTAACCACACATTCACTGTTTTTTCCAGTCACTCAAACTGTACCATGTTGGTGGTCCTAGCATACAGTGTACTTGGGAATAGTTAGAGGTAAATATCCCTTCATAATTTTGGGTACTAAAAAATAGATGACTCCTTAAATTTAACCATTAACTATCAAAGTACAGTACTAAAGACACTTTCGTAGCCCTTTCTGCTATGGTTTTGATGTTCAGGCATCCAATTACTCCCTGGGATGAGATGGAGGAGCAATGATAATGCAAGAGAGTGACAAGCCATGACACTGTGAATGATGAAAACAAACAGTGAACTGATACTCTAGTGGCATAGGGTCAAGAGGCTGTGACCTACAACACTATGCTAATACAGGTACTGTAGAAGAATAATACGCCTCAGTCCTTGTCAAAGTTTCTACGATATACAGTGGTCCCTCAGTAAACGAACACAATTCGTTCCACAGAGTCGTTCGTTAACCGAAAATTTCGTTAACTGAATCCATTGTTTCAATGGGGTATTGGGTAATTGGTTCCAGCTCACCGAAAAGTACATACAAGTAAAAAAAAAAAAAAATGCAGTAAAGTACACTTACTTTGAGGTGTGCATGTAGAAGGTTCCTGGTTGATGATGATGATGGGAATTAGAAGTGGGGGTGGAGGAGAAGGGAGAAGAGAAGGAAGTGGGGATGGAGGAGAAATCACCTTTCCAGGGACCCATGCTTGATGCAGTAATTTCACCAATAAAATTTTATGTTCACTAGGTGTAATTCAAGATTATTTTATTTAAATCAACACTGCACTGCGCTATATATTATCAATATGTTAACAAAATTTCAGAATAACCAATAATTTTAATGTAAATATGCAAAAATATTCAAGACACTAACAAAATCGATGTTCACTCCACTGTAAACAAAGCCACACTAACACCTGGTGGGTGAATCAAGCAGCTGATGGGCGCACATAAAACTAGTTCCCTGTACTGCATATATTATCAATATGTAAACTAAATTTTAAAATGACTAATAATTTTAATATAAAAAACAAAAACATTAAAGAGCACAACTTTCTTGATATTCACTCCACTGGAAACAAATGTAAACATAGAACAGATTACTGAATTGGCAGACTAGCCCACAACAATACGTGTTTGTTGTAAGGATTTCGTTAATCGAAATTTTGTTCGTTAACCGAAATTTCTTTTATCGAACCGTTCGTTAACCGAGGAACCACTGTACCAGTAAAATGCAACAAAACCTAGTTCTTTTTAATATGCCACATTTCTAAACGGTTTAAGTACCTATACTCAAAATACATCTTGAATCATACTTTTAATATTTGTGAGTTCCATGATCTCCATCACACCTACACTCTGAACATTCACAACATACAGTGGACCTTTTGTTTACCAGCCAAAGATGAACACCCTCAGTACACCATACACACCCTATGTACCACACCTTACTCCTCAATATACACACATTACACCATGCATCCCACATATACAGTACATACACATTGCACCCCACACATACAACAATATACATCCTTACATATACAGGGTGATTCAAAAGAAGTTTCACAAATCTGAGGGTGTATTGTCGTGCCTCAATGAACATAGGGTAAATATGCCATAGTTTCAGTTATAACATATATATGGGGGACATGTAAAAAGAAATATTAATAAATAAATAAAAATGGACACAAACCTAAAATATCAAGGAACCATTAACTAACACAAAAACATGTATGAATTGATGTATTGCTTGACTTTTCCAAAAAAAATTTACACTAACATGTCACAACAATGTTCTTAAAGTACATACATGTAATACTAAAATGAGAAAAAGGAAATGTTGTATTCCTGACCAGAAAGGGGTGGGAATAGGTATGAATAAGTGATGCATGCAAAATGGTGCTTCAGCTATGTTGCTCCTGTAACCTACATCACCTGACATAAATCCCTTCGATTTGTACTTTTGGAGTCACCTGAAAAGAAAGTGTATGCTAAAGAAGTTCCGACATGTGAACAATTGTGGCGCTGAGTGCAAGACAGTGCCAGAAGCATTCACAATACCCCAGGAATATTTGAAAGTATACAACAGTCACTTGTGCCACATGGTGAAGCCTGCATTCAGGAAGAAGGGGGAAATTCAAACATTTACCGGTTACTCTAAATAAAACATATAAGACTTCAGTATGTTAGTAAATAAAATGCACTAGAAACATTGCATAGATCACTTCCCCCCATATGTTTGATCACATTCCCACCTATCCTTCAGGTGCTATAACTCTAAAACTATTGGGGTAACTTTTCACACCATGTTCATGGGATATTCACATTTTTTTCATGCAGTCATATGCCCTTATTTTTGTCTCATGAATACACTCAGAATTATGAAACCTTTTTTTTCTTTATCACCCTGTATATATAGCCCACACTATATTTCCCCAAATGTACAGTAAACACACCATTTAAATCTCAAACATAAACACTTTAACACCCTAAACAAAACAACATACTGTATACAGCCAAAACAGTTGATGGGCCAGACAAGATAACACAAAATTATCATGCAGCATAATAGTGTTAATGTGCCTCATTTAAGTTATTCTCTTTTTTTCAGGCATCCATAGTTCTTGGGCAGATAGTCAGAGACAGTTATGAAGCAAGACTGTCAAGATGGTTACCCGAGATTTAAAAGTGCTAATTAGCAGTTACTGTCCCTTGTAATGTGGGTCAGTAACAGGGAGTCCATCAGACATACCTTTAGCCTCTTTGTATGTCCAGTATCTGCATTTGTACTTATCTCACCATTCACTTTCCTCCTTATCTCACTTACACACCATACTCTGACCATCACACCACTTGGTTGATATAATACTGCGTTGTTTCAATGTTTAAAATAAGATGTATATGTTAAACGTACAGTACAGTATAAAAGAAACTACAGTACAGTACTTACCAAACATAAGTGTGCTATGTGGTCAGAGTACAGTGGGACTGAGACCAATGTTGGTGTAATACTTTTGAGAGGGTTTAAACAGTACATGATGTTGGTGTGCCAGTATACCATATACTCAATACTGTACAGTACTTACAAAAGTACTTATGCATTTACAGTATACAGCTCCTCCCCGACTTACGACGGGGTTAGGGACCCAAATCCAAGTCGTAAGTCGAAATGGTCGTAAGTCGAAAATGCTTAAATAATACATAGAAAATCTAAAATGGGTGTCTCTTTTTCTTCTCAGCACCACAAAACTCTCACTTTTAAGCTTGCCAGCCATTTTAAAGGGAATTACAAACGAAAATTTTGTCAGTACACAGCGCAATCACCGACGTTGGGACTCGAAAATACGTAATTTGACAAAATTTTGGTTCGACTGAGGCAGGTCGTAAGTGCGGGTGGTCGTAAGATGGGGAGGAGCTGTATACATTTTCTAAATGTGAAATGCTTCTGGCCCCATTATACAGGGTACGGTATTTCAGATTTGTGGCATTGTACTGCACCTGATGAACACGGTTAATTTAGAACCCAGTACATATTAAAATAATAGCCATACTCTTTTTTTTTTACCATGGACAATCAATCAGCACATATTAAATACATGAATAATCCAGAGTCTTCTATCATTATCATTATTATATACAGTTCAGTATTAAATGTGGGAAAGCACAAAGTGATAACCTATCAAACAGTGTCTGTTAGCTCTGAGGAAAAAGTTGACCTGAGAGAAGAGCATGAGAATAATTGGGACATGTAAATAATTAAATACATTACTGTACAGGTACTGAAGAAATCTTAACAACTGTCACAGACTAAAACTGGATGTGGAAGTCAAGGATATGAGTATGTATGGGTATTTCTAATTGTTTCCTTCTTCCTTCAGTGTCATAATCTACAACTGTTTGAGGTTTGTGTCACTTGATCCATCCCAAACAAGTGAGAGAGAGGCGTAGACAACAGATAAAGGCAATGACTGGCAGTTGGCATACTGACCTTTGAATAAGGCTAAAAAAAATCATCACAAGTGGATAGGACAATTTCTTTACTTTTTTCAAGGCAGTTTCCATGTTGATTCATTAACATATTGATCAAATGACTTCATTGGTTCAATGACTACCCCACTAGAAATATATCACCTACAGGCTATTTTTTGTAAATTAAATAAACTCAATGCAAAAATCAATATCTTTCAATCTGAATCAACAACTACATACAGTACAGTATTCCCCATGTACTGTATTGAGTTAAATGAAGGAACAACCAATACATTGAATATAGACGTAATAACATTGTGTCAACTACATTTACCACTATGTATCATCAGGTTTGTTTACTGGCTATTGTATACAATAAATACTATGGTATATACTTGCTACAATACTTCTGTATATATAGATAAATATTATTGTACAATTCAATTCATAATATTTAAGCATCCAGCACATATTGAAAATATTGAAACAGTAAGAGAAAAAAAAGATGATTATAGTACAGGTATATTGAACATTGTACTGTACTGTACTGTACTGTACTGTACTAAGAATATATTCAACAACCTCATCCTTACTACATGTTCTAATAACTGCATACACCATCATACTGTATATGTATATCCCAAACTGGTCATGTAGTAAGCAAAGAGGAAGCTACAATAACTGTGGAACATGGAGACAATTCACTTTACATACAATGAATGTCAATTTGTGCCACAATGATAAGAGGAAATCCATCAAGATTGTGGAGAATTAAGATAACACGGCCACTGTGGATAAACCGGCTGGGAGTAAAGGAGGTAACTGAGTTCTCTGAGGCAGAGCTATGACTAATGTTAACAGGGTCCCCTTTACTCATCCACCAGTGGTAAGTAAATGCTGTATCTGGCAAGTAAAATTGAGGAAAGGCAAATACAACAGACAAAGTACTAAAATAATAAGAAGAAATACAATACTGGTAATATAATGATCATCCTTAGTCATGGGCAATTATACACAATTATACCCATTATTAAAACATTCAATGTGACACAGCTAATTAGCTGATGAGTGACGTTAAAACAGCTTGTATGTCCTAAGTACAGATGGTTGATATTATGGAGAGGAAGAGCACCAAGAAGTGTATGTATTGATTAACTATTTGAGTATGGCTGAATAGAAGCAGAGAATGGTAAAGTATGAGGATAAACTTAAGAGGTATAAGAACAACATGAATAACAAAAAAAGAATAAAAGAAAAGGGGAAAACAATGTAGTGAGGTTTCAAAAGAGGCAAGAGGATATTATGAAGAGGAAGAGGAAAAATAATAATTAAGCTATAGATTTACAACATGATATACCGTACTGTACAGAAATTTAATAATTATGTCTGTGAATTATACAAACTTCAATTATACTGTACAGCCCATTTTAGTTATAACAAGCTTGATATTATTTTTAATGTACAATAAAAAACAAATCAATTACAATGGAGTCACACTAATAAGCTTATAAGAGACATAAATACAAAAAACAAAACATAATTATAAATCCTGTCCATCTCTATCAGAAATATGAAGAGAGATTAGGGGAGAATACAGTGAAAGAGAAATAACATCAGTAAAAATAAGAAAACAAACAAATACTGTAATACAAATAATAGGAAAACTAGGAGGAAGTTGAGTTCAGCATATGACTTAATGGCAACAAACACACAAGGAAATAAATAAGTGATGAATGGAAAACACTGAAAATAAAAGTTAAGTTAAAATAAATGTTGCACGAAGACTAACATAACGTACGTGCAACAGACAATAATGAAGCATATCAAACATAATATAAACTGGATAAGCTATTAATGACATTTGACTCTTTATAAATGAAGAATACATCCTGAAATCCCCTTTTCTAATGGAATCTGTGACAGGCAGTTCTTGTAACAGAGGATGACTTATTGGGGGCCTTTAAGCAATGTTTCTGGGCCCCTTGGGTCAGCCAGGGTCAATCTGTTAATAAATATCTCACTAATTGTACATGGCGGACTGAGAGGGAATTAAGCTGGATATAGTGGATTGTTCCTAAAAATCCCTAGATTTGGTAAAGCCCATAACCATGTGGTTTGGATACCCTCCTACCTTCCTAGGGGGTTCATGTATAGTCAGCTGAAACTATTATGTTTTCAGTGTGTGAACCTGGATTCAGGGAGGGCAAAACCAGCAGTTTGGAGAGGGGGTTGTTGATAAGTTTGATACTGATACTAAGCAAACTTTCAGCCTTCACTTAACATCTTCCCGAGGGGTCTATAACAATGCTCTTCAAATCTGAGGCAGACTGACTGACTCTGGCTATAAAATTTTTGGTATGGTATAAGGTCTCCTGCACTTCCTGTAGGCAAATGAACAACAAAGGAAACTGAGAAGACAAAGAAACAAATTTAGCAAAATCAGCAAAAAAAATTGTTTAAGAAAGAACACTTGCATGAGTTGAGAAGATGACAAAAAAAAATCACGATGAGTAACGATGGATGATATCTGGGTTCACTTTGGCTGACAAAACAAATGCTGGAGAGTGAATTTTAAGAGCTGTCTGAATTCAATTCAATCAAGTACTGTACAGTTATAATATTCCAATTGAGTTATCTTTCATGGATTATTTTTTCCTTTTGACAAAAATTTAAAAAATCATACTTTCGGCCTTTTTCTCTAGGTCAACCAGTCAACTGCTTGCATATGAACACTGCAGAAGTCATTGATAAAGATATTCATATACTGTAACACAACAAACATTTTGATAAATAAATGGGAGTGATTTAAGAAGGGCACACAACACAAAATTATATCAAGATAACCAGGCAGTAGGAGAAAGTTATGTCAAATACAACCCAGCCAATTAAAAATAAAAACTAACATTATATCAAGATCGGTGGAAGAAAATAGAATAACTAAAACAATCCAGATAAACAAAGAGAAAAGCAGACATATAACAAAGTAAAGAGATGGCAGGAGAGAGACAATGACATGAAAACAATAATGAAGGTTGGACTAGAAGTCTTTTTATCCTATAACATAAGATATTTTAAAAAACAAGAGGTTGAAGTTACGATATCAGAAGTTATTGTCTTGGTTGTTAAACGTAGCTTAAGAGGTCGGACTCTGCTAATTTTACTTTAGTTAGGTATCCTCCAAGTTGTTAATGTTTGGACATTGTAATGCTATGCTATAGCATGTGAAGTGGTTGACATTCCAAGGGCACAGTAGAATGTTATGTCGGTACAGTTGAAATACCATTAACTGAGAATGGAGTTCACCCTCTAGCTCCAGTCATAATATTCTGATAATGTAATGTTATCTTCTGCTTTTTAAAAATGTTTATACAGTAATTATTATTAATGATATAATTCTTTTATATACTTTTTCAATACAATATTACCATTGCAGTACTCAACATATCACAAATCTGGAATGACTTAGAGAACTTACAATACATAGGTAGAATAACATTTCTACTCTGAGAGTTGGGAGAGAACTGTAATGGTTTCCACATGCAGGTATCCCTCGTTATACGAATGGGTTAGGCTCCTGAAAAACCATTTGTCAAGTGAATTTTTGTGTAGAAAATAAAAGAACATAATGGAAAAACTAGGATTTGGTTCCCAATAACAAGAAAATTCCAATATCATACTCCAGAAACATGAAATAAGTACCTGAACAACAAATAAACTTACCTAACTAATGATAAATACTGTAGTATGCAACTACTGTAATTTACTAACTAACACATTAAAAACAATAAAATACTATTTAGATGAAAATATGAGCTAAACCTATTAACGAAAAGCTATATCAAAAGTTTAACACAGCCTCCATTTGCATAGATACTGGCTGTCACTCATGGCCGCCTTCAAGCCTCACCATAACAACCCAGCCCAGCTGGGGATGCTCCCCCTCCCAACCCTGGGCAACTCCCCCTCCACCTCTCACACACAAAGAAATGTTTTGACCTTATGCTAGTTATTTATTTTACTTTCATTTTTTTGTACATTATGTTTGAAGGATTATGTGAGCATCTAACCAAGTATATATATAAAAAAAAAAAAAAAAAAAGTGAAGATAGTTAGGTTTATCTACCTGAAATTATGAGTTGAATAATACAGTAACTATAACATAACTTCTTTCAGCTCATCCTGCTAACTCTGGCTGGTTCACAAAGAGATGTTTATTCCCTTATGTTTTTGACCTTATATATTTTTTTTAATTCTGTATGTAGGAATGTGTGTGCATGTAGCTGAATATAAAAATATATTAATAAAGTTATGTTTTTCTACCTGAAATTCGAAATTTAAAAAAATAATAAAAAATCTGCTTCAGCCTGGTAGAGAGAATGTTAGGAGGATGTGGCCTTCCCAGCTGACTCCTGGGGGTGTGTGATTTGAATTTTTGCCAGGACCCAAATTCGTATAAGTAGGGAAAGCTTTGGTAATATGAAAAAGAGGTGGTAATTCAGGAAATTAAAATAAGTGAATTTTCGTGTCTTGAACATTCATATAGCTGGGAATACCTGTATAGGAAAAACAATTCTAAGAATATTAGACTACTTTACTATAACTTTTCACTTAAAAAATAAAAAATAAAAACAAACCATTCTAATATGGAATTTGATTCTGGTGGTACTGAAGTCGATCATATGCTTTTGTTCGCCAGCTAAGGTGTGAATGTTGGATAATATTCAGCATATATTCAGCAGCTTCCCTTTCAGTTGACTGAGGAGTGAAGCGTGAGCGCAGCTGTCTGATAGTTTGGCCCCTGAAGCATGGCAGTCCTGTGTCCAGCATCAGAGACACCAGAGAAACAATTGCTTCTCGATAAGGTCTGGGAGGAAAGAAGACAAATATCAATAACCACAGGCTTATTGATTTAGAAAATTAATAATTTCTATTCCTATATAAAAAAATCCTATAATCCTAATAATACTGACTTTTGGCATCACAGTACATCATATATCCACTGAAAATACTTATAAATACCAATCTACAGTATATGGAGTACCTTAAACAAGAATTTACCAATTCCTTGGATTCTGTAATACAAAACATGAGGGAGAAAAAAGATGGTTATGTTAATACTGTAACTCTTCTTTATTGTATAGTTGACAAGTGTAAAGCATAAGCCTTATTTGAAATACAGAATTGTACTGTATTCAGACACCATTAATCTCCCCTTTCCCATACAAGTTTGCATAACCATAAAATAAGAAAAATGAAGAGCATGGGTGTGTATGTGTGAGGAGGTGGTGAGCTGTAACTGCATAGCTGCTCTCCCTCCCTCAATGTAATGTCATGGCACACATACATCGTGGCAGACACACCTCTGTGACTCAGCTGGTTGAGTGCTTGGGTGAACTGTGTTGTGTCGCCCAAAGGATGGTATGAGTGTGGAATGAGCTTTTTTTTTTATTAATATGTGCAATTACATTTTATGTTATGCTATGTACCAATTTTATTGTTTATCATCACATTTTTATTTTTATTTTTTTATGTGTGCAATTTGAAATTTGTTCAAATTAGGCTAACTTTGTGCTCACTACATCATTTAACATAGGTCTATATATAGTGGATAAAGTGTTAAGGAACTGTTCAAATAAATATGGCAGTTCATCCCCATTGTGTGTGGTATTCAAACTTATGACTCTAGTTGATTTTGGAGGAATTTTTACGATTATTATAATTTCATTCTGGTGAGGGTTGGTTGACTCTGCCAGACCTCTACTATAATATGCAAAGTCACCCTAAACTAATTTTAGAAATGTTAAAAACTGCTAACTTCTTATGATAATGTTTGAAGAGCATCTGTCAACCCGTGTGAGTGGTGAATGCTCCTGCCTGTTTCAAAATACAGTAAATATGGAAAATGTATTAAGTGATTTACCTTCTTCCAGGGTGAGTGGTTATATAGAAACCATTAACTGTGAATGTCTAGTTGTTTATATATATATGTATTTCATATGTTCATTTTATTGATAAAGTTTGAAAACCAAAGCAGCTGATCAGGATATGCCACTGATCAAACTTAATTCTTGATACCGTTTGATCCTGTGAACCCCATACAGTATTTGTCGTACAGTATAGTTTTGATTTACGCGGAATTTGGTTTACGCGTTTGGTCATATACAAGGCACCTTGCCAGACCGACAATCTTTATTTACACGGTTCATTCCATCATTTACGCGGGAAGCGGCGCGGGCAGGGTGCGCACAAGGTCGCCCAGTCAACAAAACATTACCGAGTTCTTCACCCGCCACCTACCACAGCCAGCCCAAGTCAGTGATAGTGAGGATATGGACTTTGAGGGGTTTGACAAAGAGGCCCTGCAAGCCTCTGTGGTGGACAGTGATACAATTGAAGCAAGTGATACAGGTGATGGCCAATAATCTGCCCTCTGCCTCGGAACCAACCCCCCATCCCCGTGTGCCCAGCCATCTTTTCTACTAATGTAAGTGTTAAAAATCCTAATATTATTGATATTTCTCTTAAATATTAATTGTGTGCATACCATCATAAAATTAAGATGTTATTTTTACTACAACGTAGGTATTGTGTCGGAAAAGGTGTAGTTTGGGGGTCGGCCCAGTCTCTATTTCAATTAATCCCATATGTTCTGTTATTTCGTTTACGCGTTTCTCGTTTTACGAGGACCTCCACGGGTTCAATTGACCGCGTAAATGAAGAATATATATATACTGTACATATATATACAATCAACACCTCAACCCGCCAGGATTCGAACCCACGGCCCACGAGCCCATGACTGTGACCGGGGAACGCTAACCGCTGGACCACCAGGATAATAAAAGCAGTCCTAGACTTTGTTATATTTCACACAAAGCCTGTTCAACGAGCTTAAGGCGCCGTGAACCTCTAATGGGGACTACCCATATCACGTAGGTGGTCAGAGTAACGTTTTACCAAATCCGGCTTCGTAGAAGTCCGCGTGCTTTATTGGGCTAATGAACATGAACTTCGTATTTTCTTCTTTCCTTGTGGTTATCAGCATATACCTAGATCACGCGCACCTACAGTGATTTACTTGCATATATATATATATATATATATATATATATATATATATATATATATATATATATATATATATATATATATATATATATATATATATATATATATATATATATATATATACATACATATATATACAGGCAACCCTCACTTTACGCGGTTAATATAACCCACAGGTACCGCGGAAAGTGAGAAACGCGTAAAGTGAACAACATAACATATGGGATTAATTGAAATAGAGACCGGGCCGACCCCCAAACTCCACTTTTTGACGACACACAACTATGTTGTAGTAAAAATTTTATCTTAACTTTATGATGGTATGCACACACAAGTAATATAGAAGAGGTTAGGTTAGGAAAAATAAAGGTTAAGTTAGGAAAAATAAAGGTTAGGTTAGGAAAACTAAAAGTTAGGTTGAACACTTACGTTAGTAGAAGAGATGGGTCGGCGTACGGGGATGGAGGCTGGTTCCGAGGCAGAGGGCAGGCTACTGGCCCTCAGGTGAGTCACCATCACTGTCATCCACACTTGTCAGGGCCTCCCTGACAAATCCCTCAAAGTCATCTTCACTGTCTCTACCTCTGTCACTATCACTGGCTTGGGCAAGAACTCTGTTATGCTTTGCTGACGGCTGGTGTTTATGTTGGCTCTGGCTGTGGTGGGTTGCGGCCGAAGAACTCTGTTATGCTTTGCTGACGGCTGGTGTTTATGTTGTCGTGATAAACCTTGAAGTAGGGCTCCATAGTCTGCAACAGCTGGGTAGTGAAGATTTCATACCTGTTTGCGTCATGGTCGTCGGAAAGGAGGAGCTTGATTTTCTCGACACACTCGATGGCACCCCTAACATTACTATGGGATAAGCAGTGTTCTTCTTGGGATGACGCACCACCTGCCTCTTCACTGACGTCATCATCATACCATCTCGTCGGTAGTCACATCAGGATCCCTTATCACCTCCAGGATGTCGTCGTTGGTGGTCTCGGAGAAGCCTGCAGCTGTAACACTCTGCGCAGCTTCTCTGGCAAGGTCCACTGCTACTGCAACAGTCTGAACCTCACCAGTCACAGATTGACTCTGCCTAATGGCCGGAATGCCTTGCAACACATGTCTCCATGTGTGACGAACAGTTGCTACAGACAGCTGATCCCATGCCTCCACCAAGAAGTCCACAGCTTTCTTGATGTTGAATATTCTCCAGAATTGTTTCAAAAGTACTTTTTGCTCTGCCAACTGTTGATCCTCGTCTTCTACGCTCTTGCTATCGGTGGTGGTGTCACCCAGGTTACGCAACTCTTCCCTGGTGTTGGTGTAGTCGTTCAGGAGCTGGAATTTTTTTGTTGAGAATGCAGCTTTTACATTGCAGATTAACTCTTGGTCCATGGGCTGTAATATAGACGTAGTGTTGGGAGGAAGGAAGACCACTTTTACGTTGGGGTGACGATCTAACAGTAGGGGCGAGTGTCCTGGTGCGTTGTCCAGCAGCAGCAAAATCTTGAATGGCACATTCTGTTGCTCACAGAATTTCTTCACATCGGGAATGAAACAGTCATCAAACCAGGAGAGGGACAGTGTAGAGAACATCCATGCCTTACGTGCGGTCAGCCAGTGGACATTTAGCTTGGTCATGTCCATGTTCTTGTAGGCATGCGGCTTGCAGGCTGTGTGGATCACCGATAACTTGAGCTTACAGGTACCGGAGGCATTGGTGGTAAACAGGACGGTGATGCGTTCCTTCTGCAACTTCTGGCCCCGAATCTTGCTGGCAGTCTTCACAATGAAGGTCTTGGAAGGTAGCTTTTTCCAAAAAAGACCAGATTCGTCAATGTTAAACACCTGGTCGTCAGTGTACTGTCCTTCCTCCATAATCTCACGTAAAAACGGAGGAAATTCCCTAGCCGCAGCACGGTCAGCACTGGCTTCTTCACCACCAATGTTTATATTGGTGATTTTGTTCCGCATCTTAAACCTCTGTAACAACCCAGAGGAAGCATTAAAGGGTTTGGGCTCTGTAATTCCCATCTTTCGTGACACTGCAGCATACAGTTCACGTGCGTACTCCTTAACAGAGCGCGTGTCGATCGCCATGTTCCGTCGCGCCTGACGCACCAAGTAGCTCACAAGTAATTTTTCTGTCTTGAGAAGCACCTGGTTGTGAAAATACTTGATCATAGAAGCACCTGTAGACTTTGTGATCTTCATGTGCTCCTTTATCTTGGCTGCATCCTTCTTTATCGTCCGGATCGTAGATTCGTTCACACCATGCTGGCGCGCCAAATCAACCTGTCTTGTTCCTTTCTCTAACTCTTGGATGATCTTGTACTTCACCTCGTAGCTTAAGGAACGTCGTGTCTTCTTGGGCTTAGGGCGGCTGGGTCCAGGCAAGGAAAGGTTTCTCTCTGGGGGTGGTGGTCCGGCGGAAGCCATTTTACAGAACAATGGATGCACGATTACACGGTGTGGCCTGGAGGGATGAAACTGCCGCGGCTAGGTCAAGCGTCGTCTTTCCTCCCTCCCTCCCTCCCTCCCCCGGGTGGACACGTCATATTACTTTAAACCAATTACAGCTAGCAGCGGAGGGAGGTAGGGATGCACGGCCAATCACAGTCCGATACGTCATATGACGTCAGTGATAACGCAACAGACATGCACTGCGCAACCTTACCGCGCGGCTTGGACAGGCGGAGGCAGAGGAGGGAGGAGGCGGGAGCAGGCGGGCGGGGCGAATCTAAAAATAGCGTCGAGCCGGATATTCTCCACATAAAGGGGTACACGCACCGCGGAATGTGAGCATCC